GTCAACCTGATGCGATCTAGAATCATAACAGAAACAAATGTCTGGGCATTTCTTTGAGGAATTATCTAGATTAGGTAAATTGAACTTGGAAGGCTCACTCTAAAAATGGGAGATACTACTGAAGGAGCTAGGGTTCTGGACTGCATATAAAGGAGAAAGCAAGGTGAGCATAAGCATTCATCTCCTCTGCTTTCTGACTGTGTGACAAGATGTCTCAAGCCAGTGTTACCATGCCTTGCCCACCATGATGGACTATATCCTCAAACTGAGTAAGAATAAACCTTTCTTGGCTGTGGGCATGACTTTTACAATATGAACATACTCTGGACAAATGACTTTTACTGAACCTTGCAACTAAAAGTTAATCTTAGCCTGTTTGTAATGTGGAGAAGCTCACTGAGTCCTATGTTCCTCTTGTGACCTGGACATATGGCCTTAATTCCTCATGACCTGTCCTTGCCACTGACCAAAAACAATGTATGAAACTGTGTGTGTATGCATGTGCGAGTGTGTGTGTGCATGTGTGTGCCTTGTGCATATGTGTGTGCATGTGTGTGCATTGTGCATGTGCGTGTGGGTGTGTGTATGTGTGTGTGAGTTGCATATTCCTTGGAAACAATGGAAGTTATCCCATTTGTGTTATAAACAACAAGGATTAAACTGATAATGTCTGTTTGTGGTTGTGCATGGCCTAGGTCAACAGAAGTCAGAAGGGACATAATCTTTGGACAAGACAATTGCATTTTTACTTCCCCATTTCATGCTGGATATACTGTTGAGAGAGAGAGGGAGAGAGAGAGAGAGAGAGAGAGAGAGAGAGAGAGAGAGAGAGAGATCTTCAGGAGCACAGTTCTAAGGATCCTGAAGGCTCAGAACACTTCAGGTTTCTCTTGGCTGACACGGATACAAAGTATCAGACTGTCTTTATTCGAGCACTGCCTTAATATGACATCTTAGAGTAACTGCCACACCTTCCTTACATTGTTTTTGTCCAGAATGTTGTCACAGCCACATTCAGCATTACAAGACAAGTAATTAATTTGGAAGGGAATTCCACTGTGGGGGAAGAATAAACAGAGGCTGTAATTCAGTCAGCATCTCTGCCCACCTTTCTCATGAGGAAGAGCAGGGCAGTGGAAAAGAACATGATTTAGGGTGTAGTTCTCTAGACGAAAAGGGAAAGTTTAACTGATGTAATCAGTAAAGGACATTGTCTAGGTAGATGGGAAACATTTGGACAATCCTCTAAGACTGGTAGAAAGATATATACCTAAATCAGAGCTTAAAATCCTCTTAACTAATCTAATTTAAAATCCTTCTGGTTCTTTGACCTATGAAATTGCACTCTATAAAAATGCAAATTAGTAAGACATTAAACATTTTTAAATTATCTGGATTTTAATATGCATTTTATTATGACCTTGTCAAAAAAACAGTAAAAATGTTTTGATAAATCTGATTTTCTAGAAAACTACATAATTAGCAATTTCTGCACTTATATACAATCTAATTAATTATTTTAATATTTTTTTATAAAGCAATTATCCTAGGCCATGATTCTCAAGAGGAGAAAAAAAAGGATTCTGACCTAAATCATAGGTCATATAGTTTTACATTATTGGCAATTTTTATGTCTAATTGTACAAATAGAGATGATTTTTTCCCTCAGAATTTTTCTTTAAAATACTGTGGTTGATTTGTTGCTTTGATGTTAAACTAGTTCTGATACAAATTCCTTTGTCTCTCCAGGTATCTGAGCCCATGTGTGTGAGTATGTGTGTGCGTGTGTGTGTGTGTGTGCGTGTGTGCGTGTGTGTGTGTGTGTGTGTGTGTGTGTAACAGAGTCAGACAAGAATATCACTGCTTTACTGAAATGTCAAGGTCAGAGATAATGTGCATGAAGCAAATCAGTCTTCTCATTAGTGCTTACTAAACATGATCATTTATGTTCCTTCAGTATTGAAGTCATTACTACCACTCCTTTAGATTTTTAATTTAAGGAGCCTATAAACCATATCTGAAGAAATTTTTCTACTGATATTGACAATCAAGCAATAAATAAATAAATTGCTGATAACTGAAAATTTTTTGCTTCCTTAAAGGAACATAAATAAGCAAGTCAATAAACATTTTACTGCAAATCTATTAAGTACCAAGAGACTGTGTGTCAATGTCTGTGTGTGTAAGTGATTTGGGATATGATATGGAACAGTAATAAGATTATGAATTCAATTTTTTGAGCTCTGGACACTGACCCTAGGGACTCATGCATGCTAGACAGTTACTCTAAGACTGAACTACATCTCTAGCTCTAGAAAAAAAAAAACTTAAATTAATTTACTTATTTGTTTTATGTTTATGTGTGAATTTGTGTGTGGTGGGTGTGCACATGTATGTACAGGTGTGCACGTCCTGATGCACATGGCAGAGGGGGACATTGGATGTCTGGCTTTATCACACTCCAACTTATACTTTTCAGGAAGTCTCCATCATTGAACATGGAGCTAAGCTGGTGATCAGCAAGTCACAACAATCTTCCTGTCTCTGCCCCTCCCCCACATTTGTGCCTGCCTTTCCATGTATGTGCTTGGGATTTGGACTCAGGGATTGATGCTTGCACAGCAAACACTCTTACCCACTGAGTCATATCCCCAGCACTCAAAACTGTTTTTTTTTTTTTGTACAGTCTGTGTATATTTATATGTATATATGTGACTGTGTGTATATGTGTATGTCTGTGGGAGTGTGTATGTTTGCATGAGTATATATGCAACTATGTATAAAAATTCATACATGGAGGTGCCAGAAACTAATGTCAGATCCCTCACAGCTGCCGTTACCAGCATTTGAAGGATGCTGGACTTGTTAAGTGGATCCTGGGAACTAAATTTCAGTTCGTCTGATCATGTAACAAGCTCCCTTAAACACTGAGCCAGCCCTCTAGTTCCCAGGAAATTTTAAGAAACACTAAAAACCCAATTTTGAAATTTATATTATGGATAGCTAAGGACTGATAGTAGAGAACAGGCCCGAGCAGAAAGAAGTTATTGAACACAACAGGGGAAGCAACATCAAAATGTGGTAGAGGAGAAATCCTGGTGCAAGAAAGCGGAAATGAATACAGACTGCACATAAAGTATGCACACAAACAGTCCCGAACGATCTGTCCCTCATTGTGACTTAAGCTTCCTTTAAGGGAGGTTACCCTAAGAAATGAGAGGTCATTCTTTTTACTGCCAGTTCACTTTTCCACTGCATAAGTCATTAGCTGGACCCTTCTCTCCTAATAAAATAACCAGTGCAGATGCTGACAGAGAAATGACTCCCTGGGCTGTACTAGTACTTACCAGGGCAGCTGTCTTTCCAGATAATGATTAAGCTGAAATCCAGATTTTTGTCTTTGACTAAGAGGTAAATGTTTCTCTCTTCGATTTTCCTGTTTTCAATTGATAAAAGTGTTCCTTTAACTTCCACTTAATTGTTGGATTGACAAACTCTCCTGTCTCTCAGTAAACCATGTAAGCTGTGCTACGTCCAACTTCTTAGACCTCTGTAGTCATGTCAGGTAGACCAGCAGTCATTCCCAAGACAATATGCATGACTACAAAGAGTGAAAGCACTTTATTATTAAGCCTCTTTATTTGTCAGTTGGGTTTACCATTACAATGTAATTAAATATTACTTAAGGTGTTAAAATGAGCATGAGAAACAGAAACAGAGTCGCTGTCAATGAAAATTAAATTAACATGAAAAAGTAGGGAAATCATCTTCTGAGTGTTTAAAGTTCTCATTTTAGGTTAAAGAAACCACAAATTAAAAATTGTAGATGGTGCATTATAGGCAAAGGATGGAATAAATATCATGGAGTTCTTGTCAAGAGACGTTTAACAAAAAAGTCATACAGTTACAACACAAAATGGATAAGCATACACACAGCTTTCAGTCTAACCAGAACTTTAATGTATGAGTGATCACTGTTCTGATTTCTTTTATATATTAAGAGACCTTTTGAACTGGCTAAATTTGGGTTATGGTCATGATACTAAGAATGCATCTATTATGTTGTTAAGTTAAACACCATAGATAATATTTTTGTCTCTTGGAGATAATTAGGGTCCAGGATATATATTGTACATATTATAATATTAAAAGTAGAGAGCATATTTCAAGTGAAAAACAAAAAAAATAGAGGTAAAATACACACAAAGTATGACAATTAACAAGGCATTAGTATTACTGAAGGATAGTAAGAGCCGTTGCGGAGTTTTACTGTATGTAATTTCACACACATCACAGGCTACTTGAAGAAAAGTTGCAGCTACTTTGGCTCACATGCCAAACTGAAAGAAACAATATTATCTACCTAAACGATGATAAAAAAAATATATCCATCATTATCAACAAGAACTGACCGTTCACTGAAATTTAAATGTACCACAGAACTGTGTTTTAAGATTTATGTGTACAGATTCTTGTCTGAGATATTTTAAAAACACTCAGTGAATTTTAAAAGATATAAATGAAATACATCTATAAATATGCAATTTCATAAAACAATGTACTTTAATAAACTCAAAGTAATATTTTTGTCTTTAAACAAACATGATTACAGGCCATGCAATTATGGCCTTCAGAACAACAAATAAAAGTCACGGTAATAGGAAAAGGAACAATGTTAAAAACAGTAAAATAAACGAAAGGCATAGCTCACAGGTTGAAATAAGCATAGAAAGTTCTCTAAAAATTATGTTGTTTTAGGCCAGAATACTAACATTAACAATAATAATCATATATTGTACTTAGTCTGCACTGCCACCAAGTGCCTAAAACAATTAATTTAAGATTCTCCAGAAACTATAAGTAGATTCTTTTTTTGCTGTGCATAGCAATTTGGAAACAGTCTAAAAGCAATCCAGTTCAGCCACTAATAGCTAAAAGACTACCACAGTTTAGACAAGCAACAGATATCAAAAACATTAATAAAATATCAAGAATCCTACCAGCTCACTGGGAGTTCATGAAGTCTAAAAATATTATGCAGCTTGTAGTCAAATTTTGCTGGACAAAGATTTTCTTTACATAAACTCAAATTTGGATCTGGTTGCATATCTATGGGGAATTCTGAATCCTAGAGGAAAAAATGAAGCAAAAGTTCTTGTTAAATATTCACAGCATTATATATGTTGATACTCTCTTGGTTAATATTAAATTCTAACAAAATGATCTTTATATATAACTTTCGCCTTGAATTCCTCACACTGCATTATACTTTGAGAAAATGTAAAGATAAAATTAAAACAAGATACATATCTATTTCCAAGGATGATTTTGTTTCTAAGCTCAATGTTGCCTGTTAAAAATTACTTGAAATAATTTCCTTCGCATATTTCAGTGGAGTGAAATAGAGCCTTGACTTATATGATCAAAAAATTGTCATTTTTCAATTAGCTTCCCAACCTAATGTTGATGTCACCAATCAAAATCTAAAAATTCTTGTACCCCTTTGGTCCTTATAATGAAAGAACCAAAAATACTTAGGTTTGCTACCAAAAAAGCACTTGTTAACAGCCTTTTTTTTTTTTTTTTTTCTTAAATCCAAGGAGACAGGACTAATTTAAAGTCATTTGCTAAAGGTAAGTGATTTCTGTTACGGTCCTTTAATCACATGCATTGCAACTCATGTCTGTCATTTGTGAATTAACTCCTTCCCAACAAGCTAACTCAATGAGAAAGGACTCTATCCTCAGTGCCAAGGCATGCTATCAGTGTTTAATGATGGATAACATTGGTGTTTAGCTCCTCACACAAAAAGGAAATGATCCCATTATGTCTCCCTCATTAAAGTTGCTTTCAGAAAGAGAGGCATATGGTCACTTTTGCACTAGTCATTTATTCAAATCATAATTTTAAAAACCAGTTTATCCCATTTAATATTTTAGGCATGGGAAATCCATCAGTGGATGAAGCAGATAACAATCCTTGCCCTCATTTATGTTACATTCTAACAGATTCCTTAATATAGAATCGGAGCTAGAAAATGATACTCAAATTTTATAGGTGAGGTATTTTTCTGATTAAAAAGTAACACATATTTCTTATAGCAATGTTATGTTTTATAATAGGACAGAAAGAAATTAACCCTAGTCTTACACCAATATATAACTACCATTAATATTTCAATTTAATTACTTAGTTTTTCTTCTCAATTTCTGTAGACTTAGGACTATGCTTCATTATCTACACTCTAGTTTTCATGTAACACATCATTCATCCTGCTCCATAAGAATGATAAATGACATTTTATATAATTTTTTATTATTTTGGTCCCTTTTATGGTATCCAATGCTATGGACAGTTTTCTGTCTATAAACCTGAACTTAGATGATTAGTTTCTTTAAAGCCATCTTTTAGAAGTACAAATAAATAGCCCACATAAAATAAATCTTGGGGGGGGGGCACTGGAGAGATGGCTCAGCAGTTAAGAGCACTGACTGCTCTTGTAGAGGACCCAGGTTGGATTCCCAGAACCCACAGGGCAGCTAACAACCATCTGTAACTCCAGTTCTAGGGGATACAATGCCCTCTTCTGACCTCTGAGGGCACTGCATGACACAGGTGCACTTACACACATGCAGGCAATGCATTCATACACAAAAAATAAAAAATAATAAAAATATAAATTTTTGAGACAGGGTCTCCCTGTAGCCCCGGCTGTACTGGAACTCACTATGTAGACCAGGCTGGCCTTGAACTCACAGAGATTCACCTGCCTCTGCCTCCCGAGTGCTAATAAATTATTTTTTGACTTAAAAAATAAATAAATCTTTGGGAAAATATAATAGCTCTTCACAGATGTCCCTTCAGAAATGCTACACCTAGTGTGTTCAATTCATTATCATACCCTTGCTAACAATATATATTCATATATACACACGCAGAAAATAACACACATCTTACAAACTCTATATATCAAGCTCATAAGCATTGTTTGTAAATCATATACAGCTACTAAAATCAGATATTTAATAAGACTTAACCAAGTCTTGTAACCTACTTGTAAGCTGAGAAGAAAACAGAAAGATGTAATAGTAACTATTTAAAAGATTTACAATAAAGAAAGCAAAGTCCTAGTAATAGTAATCTTATCCAAACTTGCATGCACTTGCAAAGACAAAACATAATTCTTCTATATCACCAGCCCACATTCCAGGAGACAATAGCCAACAAATGGCCGGGCAGAATCAATGAAGTACATGTAGAATACATAAATAAGGACAATGCACAGAGGGTAGAGGAAGTAATATGAATCTTTAAACTATTCTCTCAAGCTACAAAACCATTACCGTTTCTTTGTATTGACAAGGTACAACTGGAGGGCAAAACTAAGCTCACAGCAGAATGCTTCAATAGTTAGCAGTTCTTCAACTTGAAATCACTACACAGATTTTTCAAAAAATTACCACAATTATGTGCCCCACCCCAAACAAATTGAATAACAATTTCTGAGAGTAAGGCTTTAACAGTAGCACTTAGCTTAAAGTTCCCTATGTAAAGCGAAAGTCAGGGCTGAAAATCATTCCTTCGTTAACAATTCACCTCCACTGTGTACTGATATGTGAACTTAGAGAAGCTATTTAACATTCTTTTGAAGTCATATTTTCTGACCTATAAATTATGACCCAAATCTTACCTATTTTAGAGACTGTTGTGAGTGATAGGTAACATAATCCTTATCAAGAATGCATCACAGTCTTGGCATCTGGTACATCTTTAATAAACATTAACTATCTCTGTTGCTATTTTTACTGTCTGTGGTTAGTGGCCCATGGTAATTACAACTGGTGAGTAAGCACATTTGAATACTTTCACTATCTATTATAAAATAATTCTATATTAATCAAATGACAGTTTTAATATACCCCTTTGGAGATGACGGAAGCCGTCTTGATTTTAGTATGCTGTTACTATGCAGAATTCCAGTTCCACATTCAGTTAACTGCTCACCATCTTCATTTGCCTCAAGGAAAATAGTAATATAGGTCCTTGCTTTGTAGTCCAGTTAAGTATATAGTCTTCTTGTTTTCAAATTACGGAACATGATGGTTCATTTCATTTCAAGGATGTATCAGTTACGCATCCCATGCTTCTACCCATATGAGGAAACCAGGGGATCTATTTGGGTCACTTCTACATGAACCTCTAAGTACCTAAGTTTCTCCTAGGCCACAGGTAAATTCAGGCTAATTAACATAGGTCTTCTTTTTTATATTATTCTTTGCTTTCCATCAAACTATTGTTTATGGGAATTACCCCCCCACAGAGTTTTGAACTGGAAATTCAAGTTATTCACTCAGACAAATAACTCATCATCATTTAAGTGTCTGGTCTGTATCAAGCAATATGTTAAGTTGTGACTGTCTCGCGGGTCGGGACATGAATAGAATATAATCAATCTACTCCAGAGACATACTGCTGTAAGAAAACAACATAAATAAAAAAAACTACGTGATTTGGAGCCAGGGAGATAGTTGTATCAGTGAAGTGCTCATTGTGCAAGTAGGAGGAGTCTGATCCTTAGAACCCATATAAAATAATCAGAAGTGGTGGTAAGCAGTTGAAACCCTGGTCTTGGGGAGATGCAGAAAGGCAGATCTGAGATCACTGGCCTGCCAGCCTACACATACTTGGTGAGCTCTAGGTAAATGAGAAACCATGTCAATAAAACAGAGCATATGGCACCTATCTTAGTTTCTTTTCCTAGTGATCTAATATATACCCTAATAACATCAACTTAATATAGAAAGTGTTTATTCTGGCTCACAGTTCAAGGTTATTATCCAACACTGTAGGGAAATAAAAGTGGAAGAAGGTTGAAATAATTGGTCACACTGCATACTGCTGCTTGGTTCCCTTTATCCAAGAATAAGGTCCAGGATTTCAGCCAGGGAATGGTGCCATCTACAGTGGGGAGGCATTCTATCTCAGTGGGTAATCAAGATATTCTCCCACACACATGTCCAGAGGTCCATCTCCCAAATTCTGTCAAATTGTCAAATAACACTAAACCTCACAGCATCTGTGGAGCAACACTTGAGGCTGACCTTCACCTCCACACTCAGAGCACATGTGTGTGTACCTTCATAAACATGCACACACACACACACACACACACACACAAATATCCTTTGTAAAAGCTAGAGGATAAATATGTGAATTATGTTGAGGTGAGACATAAGTAATAAAACTATTGGAACAGAGAACATACATTTATCATTAATTACCTTTATCATCTATGTTAATTAATGATAGAAATAGAATTGAGATGGTGCAATTATCATTAATAGTGCTTATGATTATGTTGAGATGATAAAGATGAATATGTGGGTGAGTAGATAGATATATAAGCCAGAAGGATAATTCAATGGTAAAGAAGTTTTATTACTACAAATGATTACATTTGACAAATGACATAAAATTAGCAAACTTCAGAAATAAAAAGAAGAAACCAAAGACACAAAATAAAATATTTCATTAACTCTAGCAACATACCTAATATAATGTAATAAGAAATATGAGAAAAATAAGACTATATTTTGTTTGTAGAGATATAAAACAAGTCTGATTAGTTTAGACATTTTTTGGGCTCAAAGTCTGTCAAATATCATTGTTATATATCAAGAAACTTGGTATAAATATTTAATTCAAATAAAAATTTTACTGTGAAGTTGGGTGTTTTCTAAGTATTGTGTTCAATAATCAATTCTTTTGGGAAATGGTAAGTCAATGATCATTTACATTAATTTTTCAAAATTCAACAATAAAAGATTAATGTTGTAAGCTAGAATTTACTAAAAGTGAAGTCAACTGAAACTAATTCTAATGAGGCATTTCTTTTATTTTCTTAATTTCCCTTATGGGAAGGAATTTACAAGAGGTGGGGAAGCTTGGCTGAGGCTTCCATGCCTCATTATTTCCTTCATCACTCAACTGGCCCATTACCTGCTGACAAATCTCACACATCACTACCTGTGGATGACTGACAACTGACATTTATCAGCAAGACTTGCTTGAGCTAATTGACATTCAAAACCTAAGTACAAAAATTACCTGAGCCAAGGAAAACCTTAC